AACATGTACAAGCAAAGCAGGAGGAGAAGCTCTATCGGTGTCTGAGAAAGCTGGGTGCTCAGCTCCCCACGGCTTCCTTCCTAACTTGTCAGATGCAGCCTGGGATGTGATGCAGAAATGATCAAGGTGCAAATAGTTTCTGTCCTGGTACCCTGGCTGCAGCTGGTCTGTGGGATACTTAGAGAAAGTTACAGGTAAGAACGCAGAGCCAGTAATCAGGCCAGATACCGGTTAAGAAGATATACCAGGCTGCTCCCATATATCCAGAACTTTTAGAAGAACTCGGAGACCACCTGGCTGACCTCCCAGGAACTCACAATCAAATACTCACTGTATTGAATTTCTGATGTGTTAAGAAGACCTTAGTGTACCGAACTCGAAACTGCAGGGAAAAATGAAGTGTGGTTAACAGTGCTAGACGTGGGAAGAGGACTCCTGGTGGGGACCGTCCTGGCCTCCTTCCCACAAGGCACAGTTTGCAGGACCAGGGAAACGTGACACCCAGAGCTTGTGTCCCCACCTTACTCATGAGACCACAGTCCAGGTACCTACGACCCTGGAATCCCTGTCCAGCAGACTCAGATCTGCTTCCAGGGCCTGTCGGAGCCTCTCCCATGGGTCTACTCTCACACAAGTGGAGCTGCCATGGTGTACACCCTAAGGCCCGAGTGGCGGGTGGCCAAGGGGTGGTGGTTTGCAGGGATGTGACGGCACTTGGAGGTGTGGGCTGGGGTGTCCCTCACAATGTGGGAAAGAATGAGGTGGGACGAGAAGGGGAGCCACGGGATGGCCTGCTTTGACACCATATTATGGCACAGACCCGAGTCAGAATGCTAAATTCGAACTTGGCCTTCCCGGGTGTCATATCTATCATGGTAGGAGGATAGAACATATTTGAGCTCAGCTTGATTTATAACTTTTGAATATTAAGACATGGCATGTGGGCCTCCATTTGTAGTCTTGCCTCTGGCTTTACAAATGTTGGAGCTGGGCCTGGTGGTTCAACACATGTACTTTAGTACCAGATAGGCCTAAACTTAAATATCTGGGCATGCCATTTATTAGTTATATGCCTTGGGCAATTTACTTGGACTCTCTAATAATACTGATGTTAAGGTTCTTTAGGTTGCAAGAGTATCCCAACTCAAACTGACTTCATCATAATCAGGAATTTATTGGCTCTTATAACGGACATGTCCAATAGTGGAAACCTCAGGAGTGTCTGGATCTGACAGTCTAAACAGCATCCTTAGCACGTAGTCTCTCTACATCTTTGGCCCTGCTTTCCTACGTTGGCTTCATTTTCAGGCAGGACTACACATAGTAACAAGCTTACATCCTACTTACTAAGCAATCCCAGCAGAAAACTAAAGATATTTTCACTTTTCTAAAGTTCTGGCAAAGTCCAGGGATCTGCTGGTTGGTTGAATGCCCCCCTTGGAGGGTCTGGGTCTATCCTCTATAAATCATACGGAGTAAGAGTTGGGGAAGTGGCAGTTCACCAAAGGAAAACAAAGATGTGGTTACTGGGAGAGTAGCTAAGGCAAAAACACGAGTGAGTTTGTAGGGATTAAATAAATGCTTAGCACTCAATGTTGGCTGCTTTTAATGTGATCAAGAAAATGCAAATGGACTCAAACCGGGTATGGATACTGAATAGAAAGCAAGTGAAAAGTGAACTCATTTTCCAATCACCCTGAATTCCGGAATCAGAGTTGGAAGCTCAAAGAAATGAAGACTTGGAAATGCAGTCACAATCTCAGACGACATTCACAGGTTTGTGTGTATGAATCATGCTTTCAGCTGCTGTGGCTGATTCTGCAATGCCAACCAGTGCCCATCAGTAAACCTTGGCCTTAAGAGCTATGTGCTGAAACCAAGCCACGCTCACTGGAAGGCTTACATTTCTGGAATTTTGTAGAGGAGTACATGAATCCCTAAATTATTTTCTAGATATGTGGCCAGTCTGGGGCAATGCTGGGTCTATCTAATGCTGTATGAAATAACCTACCATCACTGATAACTCATCACAGTAGTATGTGCTTCCTGCTTACCCCCTATAATCTCCCATTACAGAACAATCTTTTAGACGTGAGTATTCTTATTACCTAGACGGAACTAAACCAAGACTATCAATAGGACTTTATTTATTTATTTTTTGTGAGGAAGATCAGCCCTGAGCTAACATCCATGCCTATCTTCCTCTTTTTCCTGAGGAAGACTGGCCCTGGGCTAACATCCGTGCCCATCTTCCTCCACTTTATATGGGACGCCGCCACAGCATGGCCTGACAAGCGGTGCCTCAGTGTGTGCCCGGGATCTGAATCCAGGCCGCCAGCAGCGGAGCGTGCACACTTAACCGCTACGCCACGGGGCCGGCCCCATCAAGAGGACTTTGTGCACTTTTGTGGCTTAAGTATTTTTTCTGTTTTTGATGAGTGATAAAAATGGGCTATATACCACCATTTTTAATATTTTCCCAACTTTTATTTTGGAAAATTTCAAACCCACAGAAGTTGAAATAGTAATATTAAAATATTAACGCTGCCTTCACTGACGAGGATTTTTGATCAAAAACACACGGTGGCCTCAGCTCTACGTTAACAACCAGGTACATTCTCCATGCTGACAAGAGCGGCAGCACCGTCTTGAGCGAGAGGAACTCTGTCCTCAGCAAGTTCGTGTACTGACTTCTCTACAGTGCTTTCACTTATCTCATTAGAAACTCATAGCCCCTCAGGGCACGCAGGACAGGATTTATTCCCATTTTACAGAGGAGGACACAAACTCAGAGAGATCAAGTGATCTATCTGCTCAAGGTCTCAAGTCAGTAAGTACTCCAGCTCAAACTGAAACCGAAGACTTCTGACTCCAGTAACTCAACATTCTGTGGGGATTTCCTCTCCTGCATCTACAATGAGAGTAAAGCCAGAGCCAAGTAGGTATGCAAGGAAGTGTTTTAGTCTCATTCTCTGACAACCAGAAAGCAAATATTCACCAGGACACACGTACAGAGCACTATCAAGCAGAAGTCTGTTATTAGGAACACAAAACCCCAGTGGAAACCGGGAGTGGGAGGATACATAGGGGGTACTGAAGCTTCTGTCGGCAGTCCCTGGTTTGAGTTCACCCTTTATTGAGGGCTTACTCTGTCCCAGGTAATGTGCTTGGGATACAGAGCAAATAAGACAAGACAAGGATCCTGCCCTTACAGAGCTCACATTCCAGTGGGTTAATGAACAATCCAGAAGCCGCCAATGAGAGATGGATGGGCTACATCTGGCCCACACTAGTGTTTTGTTTGGCCCATAGAGTGTTTAATTTTTTATTTTATAACTGCCAACTTCTAGCTTCTCTGAACTGGCTACTTGTGCTGGATTCCTTAACAGTAAGTAGCAGCCAGCCCTGCCCCTCACCTAGGACGCATGCCCCCCAGAGATTGCTTCAGTCCCATTTCCTACTGTCTTACACTGGACAGCTGTGGCCCAATTCATGGATTTACATTATTCACTTGATATCTATAAGCATTTAAGCTGAAACCCCTGAAGCAAACAAATATCCAAATGATAATTTCAGATAGCATTAAGTAAACAAAATAAATAAAACAAGCTAATGTGGTGGGTGTGATATGATTGGTGGAAAGGGCTACTTCAGACTGGGTGGTCACGGAGGGCATCTGTGAAGTGTAATCGAAACTGAGAACTGAATTATGACAAGCGTGAAAAGTCTGCCAACAGAAAAGAAAAATGCTTCGAAGCAGAGGGAACAGCATGGGCACAAGTGCCCCTTGAGGCCAGAAATAACTTGGCTTGGTCAAGGAATAGCAAGGTTGGGGTGCCTGGGAGAGTGGTAACAAGATCACAGAGGAAGGAAGAAACCAGATCACAGGGCCCTTGTAGGCCATGGTGAGAATTCTGGATTTTATTCCAAGTGTGATAGGAAGCCTTTAGAGGGTTTTAATTTGGGAACACTGTGATCTGGTTTACATTTTCAAAAGATCACTCTGCTATGTAGAAAAGGGATTTAATTAGGCAAGAAAGGAAGCAGGGAGACCGATGAACAAGCTATGTTATAACAGTCCAGTAGGTGACAGTGAGTAGGACCAGGATGGTAACAGAAAAGATGGAGAGAAGTAGCAGATTCAGGATATAATCTGGAGCATAACTGAAAGAATTTTCTGACGGAGTGGATGGTAGTAGTGGCAGTGGGGGGGGGTGGGAGTAATGAAAAGGGAGTAACTAAGGAGAACTCCGAGGTTGTTGCTTGTTCAAACCACAATTTACATGAGTTGGGGCTTCCCAGGGGAGGTCCCAGTTCTAGGGAGAGGGAATAAGAATTTGATTTTGGACGAATACATTTTGCCTATACTCAATCAAATCTTCTTAGATTCCTCACTTCCTTTACCTCCTACATCCAAGTAGCCCTCAAATCCAAAAATTCAGACTTCTAAATAACTAATCTCTTATCAAACCTCTCTCTTCAACTTCAAACCCATCGCATCTGTCCTGATGCAGTCCTCTCTCTTGCCCTTTTACAACAGCCCTCCACAGCCACGAATAAACCAACAGAAAGCACTTAGCAGACACGTGTACCTCTCGTCCACCAGCCACCTGTAATGGCCAAGATCATGTCCTACTCATGTTGATCTCCTGTGCCTAGTGCACTCATGGGCACAGAACAGGCACGCAAATGTCTGATGAACTGGAAACAGAATACAACTCCCACAAGAAAGGAGTCCCATCCTGAGGTGCTACGACTGCTCCACACAACTTAAAGCAGAACCAGATAGGAAATGTATGACCAAGTTCCAGAAACCTCACCTTCTCAAGGCACGTGTTTCTTTCTTTCTAATTTAGTTTCAAACTATGCTGTTTGAGACCCACTTTCACCCATCATTAATAAATGATATTGGACAACAGATAACATATATTACTACTCTTGTCCACTTTTTTGTTTCCAAATCTGGGACTTTATACTCTCACACCCTGACAACATCTTTGTAAGGAGGTCAGGAGAGGACTATTCTCCATTTTACACGTAAGAAAACCGAGGCACAGAATGAAATCCCTTATTACTTTTTGATGGAGTTAGCAGCTCGACCTGGATTAAGTCTAGCCTTTCCCTGACGCCATCCCACAGTTGTGTAATTGGAAGATATCCCATCTCTCACCCCTGCAAAACTGCTGTCTAATACTCAGGTGTTTCCTGGCTTTTGCCTCCACAATTACAAACTTCTTTGGGTACCAGAGTGTGTTGCCACAAGGTCAAAGACCACGTTCTCTCTCTTCTATTTACCACTCTTCTCAGTGCCTGGTGAAGACCAATTCCACCTCTTGGGCCCAGGAAACAGAGAAGCACCTTGGTCATTAGCCTGGGAGGTCAAGTAAGGCCAGGAGTCACAACCAGCAAGAAGACAGATCTAAGCAGGTAAGAACAGTTTCAATGGGAAAAAGAAGAGAGGGGCCACCATTAAGAAAATCAGGATATTCCTTTCAAATGATTTCCAGCTGGGGAGCACCTGGGAAGAAAAGTGGCAGCAGTGGTGGCAGCAGACCAGACCCTTCCTGCCACACCCTCCAGAAGTCATTTCTTCAAGACACCCAGGCTCTTCAGGGCCTCTTGGGCCTGAGTCAGCTGCTGCTGCAGCCTCTGACGGGTACTCTCGTTGGACGCACGCTTCAGGAGGCCCTGCATTTCCTCCACCACTGCCCGGTGGCCAGGGGTGTTGTGGAAGAGCCGCACTGCCCGGTCCCCACAGGAGGCCAGAAGCCGACCAGTGATGTCAAAGGACAAGTCAGTGATACACTCCCCATGGACCTGCTCAAAGGACTCCTCCTTCTCACCCCGCCGGGTATTGTAGAGATGAATACTGCTGCCACTGGCCAGGGCCAAGACCTGGGCATCAGGGGAGAGTGCCAGGCGGCACGGCACAGTGCTTGCCTCTTCAAAGCAGCCTGTCCTCAGCAAGTAGGGATCCTGCTGTTTCTTGTATTCCACATCTGTGTCCCACAGTTTCCACGTGCCATCCTTGGAGACAGAGGCCATCCTGTAGCATGGAAAATCACGGCCCTAGCCCCAAAACACCCTGGAGGGGAGGGCACTGGGACAGCACTAGGGGCTCCAGCTAGGAAGCTAACTCCACTGCTGTGTCTACTTTCTGCTGAGGGCCAGCCACCCCACCCACTTCAGAGCTGCTGCCAAGACAGGCAGGACGACCCAGTTACCAAGAGGGACTCAGAGCCACTGGTAAGAAATCAGAGAGGATTCACTCACCTCCGGGAGTCATTGGAGAAAGCGAAGAAGTGGACGGCTGCAGAGTGGCCCTTTAGTTCAAAAGCTCGCACAACCTCCTGGAAGTCCCCCTTTTTCCCAAAGCAGACTTCCCAAACTTTTACATCCGGAGTGAAGCCACATGAGGCCACAAACCTGCCATACAACCCAACTTCCTTTGAAACTTAATTGTAATGGCATCTTGTTTCTGAAAACCCACTAAACCTCTTTCCTGAGAAAGTTAATCATCTTCTAACTAAATGACACTGTATCTTGTGCTTTTATACACGTGACTCAGTTCATCCTCACAGCCATGCTATAAGATATGCAGTACCCCTAAATCCCCACCCCAACCTTCTAAAAATAACAGATGAGGAAATAAAGACTAAGGACTTGAACCTAGGAGTCCTGATTCCACACTGGATGCTCTTTCCACTATTTGAAGCTGGCTCTCTGCTCTGTCCCTGGCCCCCAGCCCCAACCTCTGCCCATCCCAGATGCCAAAGTCCCCTCTTTCTCACCTGCTACAAGGGGATATAGCAGCATGTATATTGTTCATCTGATTGGTGTTGATGGTTGACAGCACCTGACCTTTCAGATTCCAGATGAGGATAGTGGTGTCACTGGAAGCAGTCATGATGAACTTCCCTGAGGGGTGAGGAGAGTGACAGGAGTTGAGGTCAATGACCTGAGCAACTGTCATTCTCCAAGGAGACACTTATGAAGGTTTTTGCTGTCCAAAGTATCCATGCTCCCCTCCCAGGCCAAGGGTCACCACAGATGAGGACTTTGCTAAAGACTGTGGCTCTTACCTGCCTCCCCTGGGGACTTGCCGTGGCTCCTAGGATTCCAGGGGAACCCAGAGCCAGAGCCCCTTTGTCACATTTTGAGGCTGAGCATAACTCTCAGGCAGCATTAACTGATTCAGCAAACATAACTGGGGCCATTCTCTCTTACCTTAAGCAAGCTCCACCCTCTGAATGCCTCTTACCTGTGTCAGCAATGCCAATGTTGATGATGGGTGCCTTGTGCTTTTTAGGAAAGTCCTCTGGGGTGGCCGTGAAGGTATAGCCCCCATCTTCTCGCTTGGTCATCTTGAAGACACGGAGGGTCTCTCCATTGGCCAGCCAGATGATGAAGGCTCTAGAGACAGGGAGTGGACAACTTACTCACTCATTTGGACATGGAGGCCTGTGTGTGCCAGGGCCTATTCTAGGCTCTGAGGAAAACCAAGATCTCCCTTCATGCCCTACAGTCTTGCATTACAACTTAACCTCTTGGTTCAAAATCTCTTAAAACTATCAAAAGATAGGACTCTCGGGGCCCAGGCTGGTGGCTGAGTGGTTCAAGTTTTGTGCACTCTGCTTCAGCAGCCCAGGTTCACGGGTTCGGATCCAGGGCACGGACATACTCCACTCACCAGCCACGCTGTGGAGGTGTCCCACATATGAAAAAAATAGAAGAAGATTGGCACAGATGTTAGCTCAGGGTGAATCTTCCTCAAAAAAAAAAAAAAAAAAAAGATAGGACTCTCATAGCTTTGGCTCCTTTGGTTTCTCTTTAGGGTTTAGAAACCCAGTACAGCTCCCAAGACTAATCTGGAAGCCAGGCTTTGGTGCTTCCCAAGTGGGAACAGATCTGTGCCTCTCTGCTTCCTTGCCGTGTAGCTGCATAGCTCTCCAGGGAGCCCTGGGCAGTGCTCAGGCTGTCTGGATGCTCTCTTTCTGCGGCCCCAAGGGAGACCCTGGGTCCCCCCTCACTATCCCAAACCAGGAATGGGAAGGACATAAGTCTGGAGCTGAGCTTCTGCAGGCAAACCTGAGGCTCCATCCTGTCCCACCTGCAGTCAGGGCTGAAGCGCACCAAGGTGGCATGGTCCAGCTCCACGTTGGCTCTCATGCTGCGGTGCTCCCGCTGCAGGAAGTCCTTGGTGCTCCAGATGCGGACGGTGCGATCGTCTGCGCAGGTCGCCAGGTACTTGCCATTGCTGCTAAAGTCCATGCAAGATATGTTCCCACTGTGGCTCTAGGGGAAGGGTTGCAGGAAGTGTGAACAGGGACCCCTTGGGTAGATGGGGAAGCCCAATCTGCAGCCATGACTCCGGGGCCCTGCTGCCTGGTTTAACAGCAAGCTGCTGATGGGACGTGATGAGAAGAGATAGGATGGGGCATCCCTACCAATTTTGGTTAGAGGCAGAGGGGTCTGTAACATGCAAAGATTACCGCAAAGGAAAAGTCAGCAGGGGTGTGAGTCTGTGCATGGGTATCCATGTACCTTTAGTGCTGCAGCCAAAAGGCGGTGGGTGAAGTTGTGCTGTTGAGGCTTCTCCTTGCGAATCCGCTGATGTTGTTTCTGCTTCTTGGATCTCAAGGACTTGTCAAGTGGAAATCCATTTGCTTTTTGGCCTATAAGGAAAGACCATGTCATCCATCCACTCACTCCATAAGCATTACTGACCACTTATGATTGGCCAGGCAGAGTGGAACAGCAAGAGATGACAAGACATGGCCTGTCCTCAAGAAGAGAGTTATGTGGGCAAAAACAGAGGCTTTGGAATTAGATCTGGGTTTGGATTGTGTCTCTACCACTGAGTGATCTTGAGGAGGCTGCTTGCTGTTAGTGCACATGGCACCACCATCTTTGGGCTGGCATAGCTCAGTGGGTACACAGCACGGCCAGTGGAGTAGAGATCCTTGGCCAGTTATCCCTACGTAGGGAATAATGTGCACAACCCAATCTGGTGACCCTGGCCTTGGGTAAGTTACTTAATTGCTCTAGGCCTTGGCTTCCTTAAAGTTGTGACAATTGGATGAGATAATATATACAAAATGACAAGCAGAGTACCCAACACAAGCATTAAAGGCTCCAAGGAATCCCAGAGGGAATCCAGGGAGGAGAGGTGGTCAGCATATGTTGAGCACCTACCCCGTGCAGGGAATGGCGCCTGTCAGTTTTGCACAAAATAGCTAATTTAATTGAGAATCAGGCCAGGCACAAAGTTGGCATGCGACAGCTCACTACAGATGCTCCTCAATTCCTACAGGAAAAAAACTCCTGAGGCCCACACACAAAGATGGCCACAATCTGCCCTCTGCTCACCTCTCCAGCCTTGTCTAACAAGCCTCCCCACAAGCCTCCCCTCTACTCTCACACTAGTCATACCACGTGCTGTCTCAGGAGTCCTTGCCTTCACTGCCAGCAACCTTCTTCCTCCCTCCTCGGCCTCCTGGCAAACTCGCACACACCTATCCTTCAAGACCCGCCGCACGTGTTCCCCACTCTCAGTGAAGATTTCCTTGACCCTCTACCGAAAAAGCAGGGCTGGCCACTCCCACCCTTGGGTTTCCCGTCTCAAGTACTGACCTCTTCTATGAAACCTCTTAGGCTTTATTTTTCACTTACATTTTCAGATGTTCCTCTCCCTTACCCACAGTGGACTCCCTAAAGGAAAAGACTCAAAGCCCACACAGGTGGTAGGTACTCCATAAACGTGGCTGCACGTCGGGGAACTAGTCCGAATGCTCGCGAATGAATGCCCCCCCTCCATGAAATAACGACCGAGCAGCGCGCCCGCGAGTTCACGGCGCTCTCGCAGCGACCCGGGGAGGGGCTGCGGCGCAGGGCAAGCGGCCGGGCCTCGACCACCGAGGGCGGCAGCGCGGGACCCGGTTCTCACTATCCTCCCGGAGGGGCGCGACCAGCCCGGAGGGGCGCGACCAGCCCGGCGAGGCGGCCCCTCGTCCCGGGGGCGAAGCTCATTTCACAAGAGGAGAACCTGAGCGGGTCCCCGACACCCACGCAGGCCCGAACCGCAGGTCGGACCAGAGAGAGGCCGGCAGCAGGGTCCCCGTGGGTCGCCCCTACCGGCTCGTGCCCCACTAACCCGCGGACCGGCCGCCCGTCTCGTCCTCCGCGCGCAGCCACCCCCGCGCTACCGCCGCCGTCGCCATCAGGGCCAGCAGCCCGAGCAACAGCGACAGCCCCATCAGCTCCGGAATCTGCGGCAGCTCCATGTTGGCAAGGCCGCTGCCACCTCAGACTCCGGCCACGCGGGCGCCCGCACGTCTCCGCGGAGCCGCGCACGCACGCGGGGCGCGGCCTAGCCGATGGAGCGACCCGAGGGGCGGGGCCTGGCCCGTGGGGGGTCTCGAGGGGCGGGGCCTGGCCGGTGGAGGGTCCCGGGGGCGGAGCCTGGCCGTCGGAGCGCCTCCGAGGGGCGGGGCCTGGCCTTTAGAGGGGCCTAGCGGTTGAGGGTGTGTTGTCGGGGAGGCTGGGGGCAAGATCTGCAGGCCTTGGTCCGGCCTCCCCTTGAATAATTTACTGATAATCATTTATTAAAGGCGTTGTTCCACCCATCACACACTGGATCCTTTCAGGGAGGCGAAAGGGGTTATTGCTCCCTTTTAATAGGTGGGAAACTCTTCTTAGCATCAGGGGAAACTCAGGGGGGCTTTTACGGTTAATGGAGAGGGAAAGGGTAGTCCTGGAATGGAGTGTGGGACAGCCTCTACAAAGACCCCAGATGGAGGGACACCGTGGGGAGGCAGGGCACAGCAAAATAAAAAGCGGCAGATAAGGTTGGAAAGGTCTGGAGGTCTTGAGCACCTGCTCAGCCCAGCAAGCCGAGAGCAGCCTCCCCTGGCTATTACAGGGTGAGACAGGGCAAAATCCGAGGTTCTCTGGGTGGAGAGTGTGTGCCAAGACCAAACACAGGAGGAAAACCAGGGGGTGGTTGCAAGGATCCAAGAGGGAAGTGATAAGGGGTGGCCTGGGGAGTGGGAAGGAAGTTGAAAAGGAGATTTTTAACAGGACGTTTTTTATTTCGAAATAATTATAGATTCACAGGGAATTGAAAAATATGAACAGGAAGGTTCCATGTACCCTTCACCGAGTTTCCCCCAGTGGTAACATCTTACATAACTATAATGCAACATCCAAACCAGGAAATTGGCATTGACACAATTATTCGGATTTCACCAAAAAGGAGATATTCTGAAATATCTGATATTCTGAAATAATCGATAGAATTTGGATTAGACCCGCTTGGGTGGAGAGGGAATGTTCCCAGAACAGGCGTGCTCTGTGGGCCTCCCAGCCTCGCAGGCGAGTGGAAGTACTGGGGTCAGGGATCTCAGATTCAAACGTTTCCACGCCCACCAGGGCGCCTCTCCTGATGGTGCAGGACCCTCTGAGGCTGCTGCAGAGACTAGATGACAGACAGACACACAGCAACCCCCCGTGAGGAAACAGATCCAGTCAGAGAGCAAATGGAGTGGCCTCATTTCCTTCCCTTTTGTCTTTAGGGGAGAGGGGTTGCATTGACTCAGCCATGGGCAGTGAGGTGGGGAGGGCTCGGACAGGGTGTCCAGAGCATCCTGGGGTTTTTCCTCCTTGTTTTTTTTTTTTTTTTTTTTTGAGGAAGACTGGCCCGTGCTAACATCTGTTGCCAATCTTCCTCTTTTTCCTTTTTTCTCCCCAAAGCCCTGGTACATAGTTGTGTATCATAGTTGTAGAGTTGTAGCTCTTCTATATGGGACGCACCTCAGCATGGCTGCTTCATGAGCAGTGAGTAGGTCCACTCCCAGGATCCGAACCGGCGAAGCCCGGCCTGCCAAAGCGGAAGGCACAAACTTAACCACTATGCCAACACGGGGCTGGCCCTCGGTTTTTCCTCCTTAATTGGCTATTTAGAACTGGAGGCCCAGCCATGAACCACTTTCTTTACCACCTAGAGACAAAGCTGTACTTTGAAGAAGAATTTCATTCATTCACCAAGCATTTTGCATGTGACATTTATTGATCTGGGAGCTTTGCATTTCATTGCATCTTCTCACATTCCCATCCTGCAGATTAGGAGAGTGATGCTCTAGGAGGTGCTTATTAAGTGACTTTCTGGAGGTCACGCAGGTGAAGAGTGAACCTGGGGAAACGTACAGGTCTGTGACTCCAGTCTATTGATGTGGGGACAGGGAGAAGCAAGAGTGGGGCTCAGCTCAGTCAAGGCTGCAAGATTCTTTGACATCCATGAGTTCAGCTGATCTTTTTTAATTTTTTTTAAATTTTGTTTATTTATTTTTCCCCCAAAGCCCCAGTAGACAGTTGTAGGTCATAGCTGCACATCCTTCTAGTTGCTGTATGTGGGACGCCGCCTCAGCATGGCCGGAGAAGCAGTGCGTCGGTATGCACCCGGGATCCGAACCCGGGCCGCCAGTAGCGGAGTGCGCGCACCTAACCGCTAAGCCACGGGGCCGACCCTCAGCTGATCTTTATAGTGGCCTTAAGACAGGTGCTGCTATGAAATAACTTTAAACAGATGAAAAAAAACTAGACTCAAGTCAAGTAACTTACCCAAGGTCAACAAGGAAGCCAGGGAGAGAACCCCAAGTCAAACCAGGGTCTGCTACACTCCAAGATCCATGCGCCGTCCCCCTCGCCACAGGGCTGCGGTAAGGCCTTGCTCTCACCCTAAAGTGTCCTACAGCCCAGCTGGAAGCCAAGGCCAACATTCGGAAGGACAGCTAATGACACAAAGCAGGATTTGGGAAAGTTGGGCAGATCAGGGAGAGAGATCTGCTCGTGGATCCTGAGGGGCAGTGAGATTTGACTGTACCTTCAGGGGTCAGTATTTAGACAGGTGAATTCTAGGTGGGAAGCAAGGCATGAGTCAAGGTGTGGAGGCAGAAGTAACTGATTGTTGTGCAGAAAGGAGTGACCGTGCCAGCCTGTCTGGGTCAGTGTTGCAGATGGTGCCAGAGGAAAGGATGCGGTGGGAGGGGGCATGTGCAGGAGACAGAAAAGCCTACGCCTGCCTCCCTCATGGGGCTGATCATGCCTTGCTAAGGCAAAGCAGAATGATGCATCCCAGGAACCCCTGGAGATTCAGGGCTCCTTGGATTGTGAATGGAGGGAGGCTGTGCAAAGAAATGAGGCCTGGAGGGGTAGCAGGGCCCAGTTGCAAAGCACCTTGAACATCTGCTCAGAAACCTGGCCTCACTGGAGGGAAGCAGGAGCCAAAGAATCAATGGAAGCACAACTTCAATTTGCAGTTGAAGCTCCACCTTGCATTGCCTGGAACCCTCCCTGCCTCTGGCCTCTGTGTTAGGTGAAATGATAAATTTCCTCATTGTTTAAGCAGTGGTTCTCAAAGTGTGGGCCCTGGACAAGCATCATTAGAAATGCAAATTCGTTTTTTTTTTCCCCCAAAGCCCCAGTAGATAGTTGTATGTCATAGTTGCACACCCTTCTAGTTGCTGTATGTGGGACGTGGCCTCAGCATGGCCGGAGAAGCGGTACGTCGGTGCGCACCCGGGATGTGAACCCGGGCCGCCAGTAGCGGAGCACACGCACTTAACCGCTAAGCCACAGGGCCGGCCCTGAAATACAAATTCTTAGACTCCATCCCAGACCTGCGGACTCAAAAACTCTGGAGGTGGGGGCCCAGCAATCTGTATTTTAACAAGCTTGCTAAGTGATTCTGATGCACGCTAAGTGATTCTGACGCACGCTAAAGTTTAAGAACCACTTGAGCCCCAGACGTACATTATTTGCAGCTCAAAGCCTCTATTACAGTGGTTCTTAACCTTAGGTGCATATTGGAATCACCCTAAAAAATGCTGATGTCTAAACCCCACATCCAGGAATTCTGTTTTAATTGGTCTAGGCTGGACCTGGTCATGAAGATTTTTTAAAGCCCCACCACCCCCAAGTTATTCAAATGCACATTTAAGTTTGAGAAGCAGCGGTAAGGGATACAGGAGACTAATGCCAGAGGCTGTATAAAAGGTGATGCTCTGTTGGACCAGGGCAGTGACCATGGGGATGGATCTTCCAAGGTCAACCGGCCAGGCCTCGGTAACAGATACCACAGGACAGTGGGGTGTGGGGAGGAGCCCAAGATGACGGTTTCCAGCTTGCACAAGTGTCTGGATGGTGGTGCCTTTCCTGGGGATGGGGAGCATGAGGATCAGATTGGAGGGGAAAGACTGTGGGCTACAGTCTCAGAAATGATCAGTTCTGTTTTGGCTCCTTCAAAGTTAAGGGAGCTGTGGATCATTCAGAGGGAGGGGTCAGTTGGCAGTCAGATATGTGGTTGTGTAGCTCTAGGGGGAAAGCAGGGCAGATACGGAATAGAGGGTCCTCAGCAGAGGCTGAAGGGGATGGCATTGCTCAGGGCTTGCCACAGAGTAGAAGGGCAGCGGGCCACGGAGGGACCCGTGGAGGAAGACTCCCACAGCAGGACCTGGGAGGGCACTGGCGGGGAGGAGGAAGGAGAGCCTGGTGAGCTCCTTCCTGGATTCCTGTGATCCAGAATTCTGGATCCACAGGGAAAGAGTGCTTCAAGAAGGAGTTCTGAGGGCCCGGGGGAAGGCAAGAAGAGAAGTGGAGAGCGGTTGTTGGATTTGGCAACAAGGGAGTCACGTGACCTGCATGAGAGCAGAGTTCGTGAAGGGGTGAGGCTGGGGTGGCAAGGGGAAGGAGGAGCCCAAAGGCAGGGGCTGGAGGTAAATGGCAGGGGGAGAGGGACAGAGAGCAAGTATAGACAACTCTCTCAAGGGAAGGTGGCATCTAGAGGGGAACAGAGGGTCAGGGAGGTGTCTTATGGGGACCTTCCTGCAGGGTGTGAGTGGGTGAAGCCAGCAGAGCACAAACTGCCAGGATCTCACCTTTCAGAGAGCCACTTCAGTCTGTGTCTGCAGCAGCAAAGGGCACTTAGAGGCTGGGTGAACTTGTCACCCGCACAGTGAAAAGTAGCTAAGAGCAGAGACTCTGGAGTCAGACAGTCTGGGGGGCCACGTCACCAACCATGCATCTTTGAGCTAGGTAACCTCTCTGTGCCTCAATTTTTCACTGTAAAATGGGGATGATGATAACATTGTGATAGCTCTTCCACAGTGCTATATGCCAGGCACTGTTGTAAGTGCTTTATGTATGTGTGCTCTTAAGTCCTCACAACAGGCCTGCAGAGGTAGGTGCTGTGGGAGCAAGTGAGTTAATACACATAAAGTGCTTAGAATTGTGCTTGGCATGTAGTAAACACTACATAACTGTGCAGTTCTTGTTATTATTATTATTATTATTCTACATGAATGAGGGAAAGTCAAAGCCTCCAGAAGACTGCCTGCTGTTTATATCCTGCAAACATCCTGCAAAGTTCTGAGAAGATGTGAGAGGATCAGCCTCGCCAGGCTTGAATGTCAGCTCCATGAGGACAGGGGTACAGCAGTGAAGAATCTCCAGAGCCAAGACCAGCACCTGGCCCGTAGTGGGCCGTCAGGAAATATTTGTTAAATGGATCAATGGAAGGATCAATGAAGTCTTGGGGCCATTTACCCTAACTCCCCATCTGAAGTATCAGTTCCTTCTAAGACATCCCAGCCAGTGGCCATCCACCCTCTGCCTGCACATCTCACGTAGTGGGGAGGTCACTGAGGCAGCATGTTCTCCTTCTGGATGGTTCCGATGGAAGGCCCTGTCACTTCCACTCCCTGGTCCTGCTCTGCCCTCTTCCAACTTGGAAGGTGGTAAGCGTCTCTGAACCTTCTCTTGGCCACGGAGGGAGGATTTCCAGGACAAGTGTCTGTCATCTCTCACCTGGATGACAGCAGCAGCCTACAACTGTTCTCCCTGCTTCTGCCCCTGCCCCACTGTGGCCTATTTTCAACTCAGCATCCAGAGGGATCCTGTTAAGAAGTTACATCTGATCGTGTCCCACCTCTACTCAAAACCCTCCAGTGACTTCCAGTTCAGAGGACAAGCTAAGGCCCTTTCATGGCCCACAAGGCCCTCTATAAGACCACCTCCTACTGCCAACCAGCTCTCCATCTGAGTGAGACACGCCAACAGTCCCCGACAGTTTTTGTTTTTATTGGTTAAAAATTCTTTACAAAATCCACACACACATACCCACACACACAAGATGCCTGCCCTGGTTTGGCCACCCCCTGCCTGGGTCTCTCCTGGGCTCAGACCTCCCTGGCCTCACCCACGGACACCATCCTGCAGCCCCTCCAGGCTACCAGTGAAGGCACAGAGAGAGGGAACCTCCTCATCTGCTTGTCTGCTCAGAAACAGGGGCCTGTGCTCCACCTGTGGGGGAGCAGGGGGAAGTGACAGGGAAACAGGATTGTCTGCTTCCCTCCTTCAAGCTCCCAGAGTTGCGAATTTAGGCCTCCAGGTGTCACAGCTGCTAAGGCCTCAAGATCATCTTCTGGTTGAAGCTTCCCCATCCCCATTTTGCAGACTGGAAAACGGAGGTCCAAAGAGGGAGTATGAGTCCCTTAGGTCACAGTGTTAGTCACTAGCAGAGCAGGGACTGGAACTCAGTTCTTCCCAGCTTCCAGGAGGTTGGAAGAGACTTGGGCCCTGCTCGACCCTTGGGAAAGGAGAAAGCCAAGGCCTGGGGCAGGAGGGAGTGCCCAGAAGTTGTCCCTGGAGCCCATGCCCAGGGAAAGCAGCCCCAGGGTGGCTGAGTGAGTGGCAGGGTCTGGCCAGCACTATAAAGGGTTGCCGAGGGTGCCCTCTGTGACTGCCCGTGCGGCTTGCTCGGGTATACAGCCTGGGTCCGTCAGGATGCTGGTAGATGTGCTCAGCTGGCGTAGGGAGTTTAGGACAGCTGGGGAAAGAGAGAGAAAGAGAGAGACACCTCCCGGGGTCAGGGCCCTACCTTTGGATGCTGAAGATAAAGGAATGGGGGAGGTACTAGTTGGCAAGACCATCAGCACCTCCTAGGACCTCTGTCTGCAGGTGTCCTGGTGGCTGGAGGACCATCCAAGGGGCATGGTGGGATGGCCAAAACCCCAGGCTGTTCAAGACAGGCTGGACCTGTGTCTGAGTGAGTGGAACCCCTGCTCTGAGGCCTGGACCCCGGTGGGTAGGCAGGTGGCTCACGTACTTGGTCGGAGAGCAGGCAGGGAGCAGTACTGGTCTAGCCAGGCCAGCGAGGTCTGGCGGAGGCTCTGCAAGCTTGCCGTGGACACCATCCCATTGAAGGACTCAAACAGAGGCCGGATGAGGATGCTGAACTGGGCCCAGGTCAAGGAGCAGGCCTGTCATCCAGCCAGTGCCCTCACACACCTTACATGTAGCCCTGACATCTGGCCCAAACCAGGGGAAGGGCCTGCCCAGTGTGGAGCCTTGAACCCTGAGGACCCCTACTGCAGTCACCCTCCCATACTGCCAAGGCCTGCCAGCCCTCTGGCTCTCAGGCCCCTCCCCCAGCTCCTCCACAGCCCTTCTTCTGGGCTGGACTATCCCCCATCCCTGGGCTTCCCACCCCAGCTCAGTTAAGAGCTTGACCAGGTAAGGGAGGGAGAGATTCCACATCCTCCCTAGGGCCCGCCTCACTCATGCCACTGAGTTTAGGTTCTTGCAAACTGGCCCTGGGACTTTCTGAGGGCAGGGCTGTGGTCTCCTCACCCAGGGGCTTCCCCCTCGGTTTCCTTCTGCTCCCAGCCCGGCACTGGGCAATCCTGCTGGCCAAGATGCCAAGAGCCTGGAAGGAGGGGGTGTAACCAGAGCCCCTTCCCCTGGGAGCAGCTGAGACCCGCCTGGCCTGTGGAGCTGAGCCTGCAGTCAGGCACAGCCTGGTCCGGCTGCAGAGCTCACCCCGCCGCTAGCCAGGTGAGGATACCACCCAGAACTTCCAGTTGTGCAGGGTGCGGGTCCGGACGTAGTCGTCAAACATATCTCGCATCTGGTCGAAACGCTGGTGTGTGATGGGCACCCCGGTAGCAGGCAGCTGCTGCTGGCACAGGCTGGGGGTATGGGGGGTGGGGCTGGGAGTCAGGCAGCATGCCCTCTGGCCCAGCGCCCGCAGGTCCTCCACCTACTTAATGGCAGCGTTGAGCTCCTCGATCTGGTCCCGCAGCTGCTGGGCCTCCTCCTGCATGGCCGCCCGCTCCTGCTGCAGCATGGCGATGTACTCGGCCGTCTTCTGCAGCGTGGTGGCTTTGCTCATCTGCGGCATCACCAGGGGGCTGAGGAGCTGGAGGCGCCCCCACCCCAGGACCCGCTGAGGCACTGAGGCGGGAGGAGGCAACAGGGTGTCTGGAGGGCCCTGGGGCTTTGGTCCTGGTTCTGGCGGTGCCATTCTGGGCTGGGGGCTCACCTTGAGGCTGGGCTGGGCGCTGAGTGTGCTCACCAGCCCGTGCAGGGTGTCGAAGCCCAGCTTGATATTGAAGCGCCGCTTCTGCTCCGCAGAGATGTGTGTGATGCGTCGGTTCTCAGTCTTGGGGGGCAGACAGCGAGTGGGGTGAGCCTAGCAGGGAGTGTGGGAGGGCCTGGGGGTAGCAAACAGATCTTGGGGTGGGGGGATGGTGCCACCTTGGTGCTGTCTGGACGGCCCCGGCTTAGGATGGGCTGAGGGGGAGAGACGCGGACGCCCAGGGTCCCCGGGTCTGGCATGGAGCTGAGTTCCCCAGACAGCCGCCGCTCACCTCCTGTGGCAGGGACAGACAGACCCCAGACAGACCAACACAGAGGAGAGGGTCCCACTGCCTGTCCCTTTCATCCTGGCCCCAGACATGGTCCCCCCTTCTTCTTTCTCCTCCCTCCACTCCTGGGAGCCCCCCAATCCCTGCAACCCCTCTTTACCGCTGGGTGCTGGGGGTGAGAGCCGCTCCACTTTGGGGACAATCAGGGCCCTGGGAGGGGCCAGTGTGGCTGGGCCGGGAGGTGGCCGGGGCGGTGTGGGGGCCGGGTTTGGGGGAAAGAAGGTGCAGGGGAACTCAGGGACCGTCTCCTGCTGGAGTGGAGAAGGGCGGAGAGTTGGAGTGAAGCCCCGGGGCTCACCCCCACCTCCCAGTGCCTGCCATCTTACCGGGGACCCTGGGGGCCGGAGGAGCGTGCCAGACACAAGTGGTGGTTCCAGGGCTTGCTCAGGCTTGGCTGTGCACAGGCAGAACTGTGAGGGCCACTGGGGCTGGCCCCAACCCCGTCATCGCCCAGCCCTTACGGATTCAGGGCCCATGTCCCTAATTCCTCGCCACCCTGCCCTCCAGTGGAGCGTGGCCCTCAACCTTCTCCTCTGCTCCCACAGGCTCCCCACTTCTGCATTAGGTCCCCATCTCCCCCTCTGTCAACCCTGCACCTCGCATCTCACCTGCTGTGAGCAGCTGGGTGAGGCAGGGGTTGTTGCCCCCAGCAGTGGCAGCGGGGCTGGCAGCAGCAGGGGCCAAGGTGCAGGGGCTGGGCCTCTGCCCCCTAGGGGATGGGGTGGGGGGCTTGCCTCTGGGCCGCAGTCTGTGGGACACTGTGAAGTGAGGCCCAAATGGGGGCTCCGGATACCCGGAAGGGAGAAGGGGGAAGGAGGAGGGGGCAGGGCCTGGGCCAGGCTGTGGGGTGGGTGGGAAGGCAGTGGGAGCAGGTAGTGGGGACACTCCCGGGGCAGGAGGGACAGTAGGGAAGGAGAATCTGGGAGAGAAGAGAGACTCTTCCTGCAGCACAGCAGGGGGCGGAGCCATGGGAGGGAAGTGGGGTGGGGGACGGGGCTCCAGGCCAGGCCCCTTGGCAGGGACAGGGTATTGGAGGAGCCGTGGGGGTGTGGGAGGCGGTGGGAGCTTGGGCTTGGGGTCTTCAGGAAGGAGGAAATCAGAGCTCAGGAAGGCACCGGAATCCAGGGGGCCAGGGCAGCTGCTCCGAGCCTGGGTGGGAGGACAGATAGAGAGCAGGGGAGAAAGCTGGCCTTTGTGGCCACCCGGGCAGCCTCCTGCCTTGGCTGAGCGCTGGACTGAGCACTGGGAGAGACAGAAGAAATGATCCCTGCCCCTCAACACATACACCAGGGAAATTATAATTTAATGAGGAAAGGGAGTGGAACACATTGATGCACAAATTAGGCATAAGAAAGAGCATCAATCTTCCTGCCCACCCATTCATTCACCAAATAATTTATCCATCCATCCACCAATCCATCCACTAATCCATCCATCCATCCATCCTTCCATCCCTCCATCCCTCCATCCCTCCTCTATCCATTCACCTACGTATTTATTCTCTCATCTGTGAGCTAGCTCATCTATCTTTCCACCAGCCCAATGGGTACTGTCCCATTCACCAATCCATCTAGCCATCTACACTTCCTTCATTCATCCACCAACCCATCCACAATCCGTCTATCCACCATCTATACATTCACCAGCCATGTATCCACCCACCAGCTGATTCATTGATCCACCAAACTCATTTATGAATTCATCTACCAGCCCATCCATCCAACCAACCACTCACCCCTATATTTACACCAACCCACGTAAGTATCTACCCCCATCTACAACCCTTCTATCTATTCACCAACACACCCAGACATACACTCATTCATTCACTCACTTGCTCAATCATTGGGCAACCATTTACCCAGTGCTGTTGATGTGCTTGAACTGTGCTAGGCATGGAAGATGCAGTGGTGAGCAAAACACAGCCCTTCCAGCAAGGAGCTCACTCTCTAGTCGAGGAGAGAGACCCCTCAGTGATGAACTACAATAGTGCGGGAAAGTCTAATGATGGAGGGAAAGGCATCTAACCTAGCAGCAGGGAGGCAACATGTGAATTGGGCCTGGTAGATTCACTGTTCCCTAAGCACACAGGCTCAGCTTCCTGCCTCCACGCTCCCGTTCATGCTTCTCCTCCCTTCTGGCTCCTGCCTCCATGCTCCCGTTCATGCTTCTCCTCCCTTCTGGCTCCTGCCTCCATGCTCCCGTTCATGCTTCTCCTCCCTTCTGGCTTGCCTTCTGCTGGTCTCTTCTGTCCAAACCTGACCCGTTCACTAAGGCCCAGAACTCCCCCTCCTCCAGGAGGCCTTCCATAAGCAAGCCGGCCCTCGGCAGTGCCCTGCTCCATGCTCTCCTGCCCTCAGCCTCCCTCCCACAACCATCTCGTCAGCTCTGCTTCACAAGGGTCTTTCCTCCCCAGCTGAACTGTGCCCTCCTGGAGGGCAGAGATGGGGACTTTCTCCTCCTCCAGCCCCTTGGTTGACCAAGCACAGGACCAGCACTCGAGAAGTACCCTGAAAAGCTCCCAGCCGTGGACAGGTGGGCTGGGCAGGGCTGGGCGGGCTGTGATGAGCTCACCTGCAGCAGGTTATGCCCCGAGAGGTGGGTCATGCCCGAGGAGGCAGGGGGCACCTCTGAGCCCAGGATCCCACTGCTGAAGGAGGAGGTGGCCACGGGGCTGAAGCTGGGGGGCTCTGGGAAGTTCGAAGGCATGGGCGTCTGTGGGGGGCGGTAGCTGGTGAAGAAATCTGTAATTCAGACACACAGGGAGGCAGCAGTTAGGGCTAAGGCTGCGTCTGGAAGCAGTGGGAGGAGAGTGGGCCTCGTGCCCTGTCCCCAGGCTGGGCTGGTGGTGGGGTGGGGGCCGGCGGGGGAGGGGGGGCTTCCACAGGAGATTGTGAAACTGGGAGAGTTTCTGTCTCACTCAGGGGAAGCAGCAACAGAGGCGCGGGTGGGATGGGCCTGAGTGGGAGACAGCAGGGGACTGTGGGGGTGTGCACAGGACCCCTGGGAGCAGCCCTCCCACCGAGCCCCACACTTGGATCATAAGGCCGCCTTCCCCATCCCCAGGCCTGGGCACTCCCATGTCTGCTCCGGTTAGCAGCCCTGCTGGGGACATAGAAAGGGGGGTAATAGAGAGTGCCAGGGAGGGAAAGGGGTGGGGTCCAAGGGAGGAGGTCTGGGATGGGGAGGAGCTGCAGGGTGACAGGAGTTCAAGGGGTAAGATAGGGGTGAGAGGGCTCAGGCGGTCAGTGGGTCTGGGACAAGTTGGTTTGAGGAAGGTCGACAGATGGGGCAACAAGCATAGAGCCCAGGAGTGGAGTGAAAGGGCTAAGGGGGTGACAGCAGGGGTCAGAGGGTGGGCTCAGAGTGGGGGCAGGAGTCAGGGGGGCTGGAAAGCCTGGAAGGGCTGGCGGGGAGGGGGCAGCCAGATTGTTTGGGGTGCGGGTTGTGTAAGCCCTGGGCTATTCTGGTTTTGGGAAGCAGCTGCCTGCGGCTTGACCACATCCCGGGCCTGGGCGCCGCCCGCCCACCCGCTCCCTTCCGGGCACCTTTCTCTGACCCTGACCAGCCTTCAGTCTGCACCAGCTCCCCAGGCCTCCTGGTCTGGTCGGATCTGACCCCACTGGCCTTGGATGGCCCAGGCCCCCCAGCCAAGAGAGCTGGGTAGGCCTCTCTCCCAGGGGCCACCTTGAAGGAGACCTAGCAGTGGGACAGATAAGACCACACCAAACCTCCAGCCTGACGGGGTTAAACCTGTGTGTGCATCCCATGTGACTCTGGGGCCTAGGTGTCGCTGGGCAGCCAGCTCTGCCTGTGTCAGTGTGAGGTCTCCTGCCTCCCTGTGTGTCTGTCCCCCTGTCTATAGCTCTGTCTCTGTGCACTTGCCCTGATGTGAGGTGCTCGGCGTATGCCTGTGTGCTCTGCGCCCACGTCGCTATGTCTGAGTGTGTGTGTGTGTGTGCGCATGTGTGTCTTTCTTGGCCACATGGTCAGAAGGGAGGGATTGTCTTGCTGTCCTGCTGCCTCCCTTTAACAGAGGGACTGGGTGGCAGAGGGTGAGCGGTCACTAATCCTCCACTCCCCGAGGACTATAAGCCTTGTTACTAGGCCCCTTGAGGCCTGGGCTCTAGAACCAGCTGCCTACTAGGCCTGGCCCCTGGATGCTGAGGGCCACAGAGCGGCTCCCTGCTCACTGCTGCTACCCACTCCCCAGGCCTCGAGGGCTTCATGGAGCAGCAAGCCCAGCTCATTACTGAGTCAGCACCATCTCCTTACCACAGATTGCCCACTTGTCCCTGCCCGGCCTTGAGAGAGCCGCCCATTGAGCCTGAGTCCCTCCCCAGCCTCTGTTTACCCACTGACCTGCCATCTCCTCTCTGAGTCCTCTCTCGTCCCAAGCTCCCCTCCTCTTCCCTCAGCGCCCCTCACCCAGGCCTCCTGCCCCTCACTGAGGTCTCCCCTCACCGAACCCCCTCCCTCCCTCGAGTTCTGGCCCCTCACGGTGTTTCCTCTCAAGTGAGGTGCTCTTGGGGACAATCAGAGGCAGCCCTGGTGGCCCTGGTGCTCCCTGCCCTCCCGGTGGACAAAGCTCTTGAAGGGGCCACACTAGCCACCTCCTCTGCGTGGCATCCCCTACCACGGGTTGCCCACACTCACCCCCACCCCAGCAGCCACCCTAGATTGAGAGAAGTCACTTCCTAGCCCCAGGTTTGCCCAGAGCCCGGGGTGAGGGCGGGTGGGCTCCTACCTGTGGCAGGGGTCTGTGTGCCCAGACAGGGCCGCTGCCCTCCCAGGCTGGTCTGCTCCCAGGGCACTGCCATCAACGCCTCTGCCCCCACAGCCCCCACTCCCGCCCAGGGCTGAGGCAGGGGTGGGGGTGGTTCCTCATTCCCTAGTCCCCGCCCCACGGGCCTCCACATCTTGACCGATGGGCCCAGGACCCTGTGGGGGAGGAGTGGAGGGGTCACGAAACTACGCCTTTATGCCAGGGACCCCCTTTCTGTCCCCTGGGTCTTGGCTGAGATAGGGCGAGCCCCGATGTCTCTGTGACCCCCAGAATGGCTCCAGAGTCCCCTAACTGTATGAACATCGGGAACAGTCTCCAAGACCTACAGCCGAGTAAAGAAAGTGACGTGGGAGAGGCTGTTGCGAAAGCAGAAAGAGACACATGTGCTATTACCGACGTGAGGACCTCTGGAAGGGCAGAAGAAGCCAGTGAGTGACCTGGTGCCCTGGGGGTCAGAAGAGGGAGGCAGGGAAACACACTGCTTTAGAAAGTGCCTTACAAGATATGATACCTGGGATTTTCTTAAAAATAACATCGGAGGGGACAAGTGAGTGAGGTCGAGATGAAACAAGACTGGCCAAGAGCAGTAAATGTTGAAGCTGGTGATGGTCACAGGAGCGCCCATTGAAGTACTCTCTCTCTACTTGTGTGTATGTTTGAAATATTCTTTAACAAACAGTTTTCAAAATGAATGATGTAAATAATAAATTGACCCAAACAAATCCAAATCCCTGAAAGAGTCCTAGCGTGCACCGCTCTCCTGGGAGCTCCCAGAGCCTGCAGCACCAATGCTCCTCGTCCCCTGTTCCCTGCCTGGGTACCCTGAAGGGCCCTGCTCTCACCTGAGGCCACACCAGCTGCATCCCAAAGCCAGAAAAGGGAGACCAGGAAGATCCCTCAGAAGTCACCCAGACCGTCCATCCTCTGAGAGGGCCCCGGGACTGGCCCGAGGTCTCATAATCATACTGGGGCTTTCCTCGCACTGACCCTGCCCATCCACCCCACCCTGGGGGAGGGGCCTGCCCACCTGAGATCTCCATGAAGTCATCCAGGCTGGGCTGTAGAGGTGTCAGGTCCGGCTGGATCATATCAGCATTGCCAACGTAGGCTGGAGGGGGGCAGTGGTGCCGTCAGGAGCAGCAGGCAGGCTGGAATGGGGGCACTGTCCCCAGCTGTCCCCTCTTGGCTGCCTGGATTCCCACAGGCCTCCCTTCCCAGGTGCACGCCCTCACCGTCCTCGGGGGGCAGCTGCAGGGGCTTGGGGCTGGGCTGAGTCATGGTGAAGAGTGTGTCGGAGATGTCGGACAAAAAGCAATCGAGGTCCAGAAGCTGCCGCCCGCCGGGCTCCTCCTCTGGGCCCCCCAGTAGCACGGGCACCACGCTGGAGAAGAGCTGCTCGCACCATCGCTCCGGTGACTGCCACCCACCTTCCGCCTAGGGAGACAGAGCTGTCAGCAGCCCCACTCCTCCCCAGGCTGGGGACACAGGGTTGCCCACTGCCCCCGGCCTGGGGGACAAAGTGATTAGCCGGCCACAAGGCCTCTCTCTGCACAGCCCCTCCCCACCTTTCTCTGGTGGACCCAGTTTGCTACCTGAAAGGCTAGTGTCACCCCACTGGCCTCTGAACAACTCCCCCCAGGAGACAGACCAGGATGGCCTGTTGAAGACATAAGGGTCCCCTTCCTGCCCCTGTACTTCTTCCTATCTGGACACCAGTTCTTAGGGCCCTCTGTTCCCCCATGCCTCCCCACCACTTGCTCAACCAGAAGCCTTGGGGTTTTCCCACCACTGTGCCCTCCAAGGCTTCCCTTCCCAAGGGGAGAAGGGCTCAGTTAACCAGAGGAGATAAGCCCACTCCCTCACTTCCCACCCTCACCCGCAGCCACTGTCCTGTCCGCCCAGAGGGAAGCTGTCAATTCTCTGGGTCCAGGGAGCACCCACCTGCTTTGGGGCCAGGAGATCCCCTTCTCTGCTGGACTTACGGAGCTGCAGGAACATACAGACGTGGACACCAGGTCCCTTGCCCCCTCCTCCATCGTTCCCACCAAGGCCTCCCCTACTCACAAGTGCTCCCAGATCAACGGGATCCCTCATTTCCCCTCAGGAGCTCCTCCGCCCTGGGAGGTAAGGTGGCTGCAAGGAGCCCCCGTGGCCACACGGTGGCGCTGTCAGCCTGGGTCTTAATGGAGGGCGGAGTCGGGGGGAGCCAGCAGCCGCAGGGGGAAGGTCTGGGGTCTCCCCCGGGCCCCCACTGACCCGCTTCTTGTAGTAGATGCGCCACTTGTGGTACTCGCGCATCACCACCTCGATGCGCCGCTTCCAGTAATTCCCCTCCAGGACCACGGCCTGGGGAGTGTCGGGGAGGGGCTCAGTGCGAGAGGTAGCACCGCCCCCCACCCCCATCCCTCACCCAATCCCCATCCGGGCCAGCCCCTCCCGCCCTGCACGAGGAGCGACGGAAGGGAGGGGCCAGGCTTGGTGGGGAGGCAGGTGGGTGGTGGTCCCAGTCTCAGCTACCTTTGGTTTCCGGTGCTCGTCAGCCTCAGGCCCCTGCAGGGGGGTCACGAAGCCACACACGGGGCTCTTCCTCCGCTCCACATCTGAGAGATGGGGGCCAGGTCACGGTTGCCCAGCTCCCTCATCTCGCACCCAAAGGGGACTGGGACCCAAGTGCCACACTACCAAACCCTGGCCTTTGATGCTCAGATTAAGTGCCACCTCTTCCAGGAAGACTTCCTGCCTGCTCTAGCCCTCCCACATCTCCTATTTCTATGCCCCACTGTGAAACCGACCTCCCACACCTCCTCTGCCTCCCTTGGAAGCCTAGTAGGTGTGCCAGCAATGCTTGCTGAATGGGATTGTGGGGCAGGCGACAGGGAGTGAGCCGCCCCAAGAAGGTCCTGGTCAGACTGGCAGGCCAGGGGTCCCCTGCCTCAGGCTCCTTGGCACTGCCCTCGCTCACCTCAGAGAACCACCACTTGTCCTTCAGGCCACCTACCTGAGCCCTTTTCCACCTCCTCCACTCCCCTCCCTGTCTCCAATCCTGATCTCTCTCCAGGCTCCTCCCTTTTGACCTATAAACACATTCTAGGCTCTCTGTCACCTCCCAAACCTTTCCCTAACCTTGTTCCCCCAACAAGCTAGCCTTCTTCCCCTTACCTCTCTGCTCCCCCAGACTCTGGAGGAGTCGTCACTCACCACCTGCACTTGCACTCCTCCAGGCTCATCCTCACCTCCGTGACTCAGACTCAGCGCCTGCCCCACACCCGCCCCACCGGCCCAGCTCCTGAAGGCAAGGCCCTGGTCCTCCCCAGGGCCATCCTCCTAGCCCTCGGCCCCTCCTCCCTCGGCCCCTGGAAACTTCCCTCTGTCCTCCTGCCTCCCTGACCCCTTTTCCCTGGCTTCTCTGCAAGGCCCGCCCCCAATCTCTCCATCCTGCCCTTTTCCAGCTTCATACCCTTTTCCCAGCTGCCTGGAGAACCTCCACTAGGATGTCCCAACACTTTGTCCCTTTCAGATGTCTGGGAGTGTCCCTCCCAAGCCTCTGTCTCCCTGGACTGCCAACACTGCCTCCCAATCACAGAAACGCCCCTGGACTCCTGGCCTTCCTGTCTAATCCCTGGACTAACCGTCTCAGTTCCAAGGATCTGGGACATTTCCTCCGCCATAGTCTTCCCTCCACATTCTCCCTGTCGCCCCCTGGTCTGGTGTCATTTGTCACCTGACCTCCCCAATGCCAGCCTCACACCCTCCAGTCCGTCTTCCTGCTGTGGCCAGGCCATTTCCTCCTGAAGCACACTTCAGGCCTGAAACCCTCCACGCCCGTGAAACCTCCAGGATGAAGTCCACATCCCTTCGCTGGGCTTCCAAGCCCTCTGTGACTGGCCCCCACCTGCTCCTCCCCCTATCCGTGTCCCTCATATGTGCCACCTTGAAGCCAAACAGTCTTGCCGTTTCCCCACACAACCCACTCTCTGGTCTTATTCTACACGGCACAGCCCTTCCTTCCCTCCTCTGCCTCGTCCACCTCTGCCCACCTGTCAGGAGAGCCCAGGGTAGCCCCCCTTCCAGGAAGCCTTCCCTCCTCTGAAACCCCATGGTCCCATCTGCCTCACTCTCCACCCTGCCTCGCCATTTCTCTGCATGCTGGCCTCCTCGCTGGGAGGGAAAGCAGGAGCTGTGTCCTTTGGCCCTGAATCCCTGCATCTGGCACAGAGCTCGGCACATAGCAGGCCTTCGAAACCCTGGACCCCCATGCAGTGACTTTTTTTGGCAGTCCTGACAAAGAGGATGATCGCTCACCCTTCAGGGGCGTCGACGGGGCCCGTCCTGCCTCAGCCCTGGGCAAACTTCCTCTGGGACAAATGAGGACACAGAGGAGGGGGACCACCTGAACATGAAGTTTATTGGGACCTTCAGCATCATTTACAAAGTTCTGTTCTAAAGGACATCCTCCAAAACGACCCCCATGGGATTAAGGGAGGGGGCCTGTCCTGGTGGCTGAGTGTGGCTTGGACAGAAAACAAAGAATGGGCCCTTGGGTGTGTGGACTACCAGGAGGTTAGAGCAAGGAGGGTCTCCAAGAGTATCTGCCCCTGGCTTCCCAGGGAATGAGCCCCAGGAAATAGTAAGTTTGCCCAGGGCCCCCAGAGAGTCAGGGCTGAGCAGGCCTGGCTGGGCTCTCCCCTCCCCCACCCAGGGACCCTGCCCTCTGGACGGAAGGGCAGTGACCATGTGGCTTCCTGGAGCTGGGGCGGGTTTTATTGATAAGTTCATCACTGATAAGTTCATCCATTCATGCAGCCATCTAACCCACGCTGGGGCAGGGAATCCACAGGAAATCAGGACGCTCAGGGCTTAGTGGGAGAGCTAAGGAAAGCACACACATAACACGAGCCAGTGCATGGGGGAGAGACTGTCCGTAAGAGGTGCACAGTGCTCCGGGAGCTCAGAGGACACCCAGACGATTGGGGGTGTGGGCAAAGAGGGGATCTTGGAGGCCCGGAGCCTGCAGAGGGGTGGCAGGCGTGAGGGGGTGGGGCCAGCCAGCCTTCCAGCGGTCCCCACCCTCCCCTTTTCCTGAAGCCCACCCTCAGACCTTGGGTGCTCAGGGAGGAGGCGTGCTGACGTTTGTCATGGGCCTGCGTTTGCTGCCCCTACGACCACAGTAATAATAACAAATGCCTGCAGCTCTCCTTCCGGGAGCCCCTGTGTGTGTCAGGGCCTGGGCTGAGATAGGGATGCTCCCACTGCAAACCCACAACAAACCTCAGCAGCAGGACTGTTATTACCCCACTTTACAGATGAGCAGGCTTCGGCTAGCAGAGGCTAGGGATGTTCCCAAGGTCACACAGCTAGGGCATGCTAGAACTTGACTCAAACCCACCTCTGTCTGTCTCAGAACCTGGGGTCCTTCCAGCAACTTGTGCTGCAGACCAGAGTCTGTCTGTCTGGGCGAGGACCCCAGGTGGCATCAGAAATTTATTCTGCAGAGAGAAGCACTTGTGTCCCATCCAGCTTGGGGGGGCAGGGTGAAGGGTGAAACCTTGTGGGGGGACATTGACTCCCCCTGGCCTAAAAGCCTTATGGTTCAGCCAGGGCCATCCTGCAAGTTCCTAGAAATGGCAGAGACCCAAGGAGACATTCAAAAGGCATGTAGCTCCCACTGCCCCACTGGGCGACCTGCGTGTTGTCAGGCGAGGACTGGAAGGCCGCCAGCAGGCAGCAGTGGAAGGAGTGCTGGGCTCAGAGCTGGAGAGCCCTGGACTTCCAGCCGGCCACAGCTCTGCTTCCTTTATGCTCTGTGACCCTGAACAAGTCATTCGCCTTTTTCGCCTTTGGGGCCTCAGTTGCTCATCCATAAAATGGGGGTAATAATACCTCTCTCCCGGGGTTGCTAGGAAGACTTAAATAAGATGATCTGTGAAAGTGCCAGTCACATAGATGAACAGAGACCAGAAAACGCTCCCTCTCTCTGCTTGGGTGCAATCCAGCGGGGCCAGTACAAAGAATACCGTGTGCTCCCTCCTGGGCTGTGTGTCCCAGCTCAGCGCAGCCTTTGATTCTGCAGCAGGACCTAACTGAGCTGGACAAGGTCCCAATACAGGGCCGACTGTCCAAGCCCTCTCAGCCTCTGCTACCCTGCCATAGGGGGTAGGTGAGTCTTGTATCCCCAAATAAATGACCATGACCTCCTCAAGGGTACATCAGATTCAACCATCATTTATTGAGCACCAACTTTGTGCCAGGCCCATTCCTACGCATTATCCCCGTGCCAACCATGCAAGGTAGGACTACTGGCCTCATGTTATAGATGAAGAAATAGGTTCAGAGAGGTTAGACAACTTGCCTGCAGTCACACAGCCAGCAAGAGGCAGAGGCAGGGTGGGAAACCAGCTCTGGGTAACTCCAAGTCCAGAGTCCCTTCTACTATACCACACAGCCTCTCTGGGCCCCTTCCCCAAAATCTCCATGGGGGTTTCCTGCTGGGTATTCAGTAAAGACTTCACTGAAAGGCTGGTGGAGGCCCATGGAAGATTCCTGTTTTCCCCTTTGCACAGTGAGGCAGTTGGTCCAGATAGTGTCTAATGCCTCTCTCTACCCCACCATTTGAGGCACTTGACTACACTAGTGGGATATAGAACGGGCCTTGAACTGTCCCCCAAATCTCAGCCCACCTTAGGACTTCCAAGGGCTGATCCCTACTGTGCCCAACTTCACATCCAAGACCCTCTGGGGGTGAGAAGCTGTTCAGGGGTCCTGGTGCTGGGGGCCTGGTCTCCCCAAAAGACCGGTGGCACTCTGCTGGTGCTGGCCCTGAGGGCCCTGGGGTTTCCTGGGCAGTCCCCGGTGCAGCCCCCCTGCGGGGAGGCCCATGGTGCCCACTCACACTGGATATACCAGGCCCTCCAGATGGCGTTGTTGAGACGGATCTTGTCGCGGCAGAGCAGCTTCAGGCCTTTGAAATTCTTCCACTTGGGGGAGACCAGCTTGCCACTGTCAGAGGGAGAGGGCTGGGTCAGAGGACGCTGGAGAAAGGGAAAGGCGGGAGGGCGCTTCTGCAGGGGCTGGCTCCACACTCTTCCCCTGCACCAGGCACTCATCTAGGCTGGGCAATTTGAGGGATCCCCCCCAAATCTTGCCCCTAGCTCTAACCCACCTGAAATTCCTACCTCGAGAGTCAGACCTTTAAAATATCCCCCAGGTCCCCACTAGGGGCCCTTGTGTTCTCTGGCGAGACCTGCTTGTTAATCTACTACCAGAACTAAAGCCAGGGCCGAAACCTGTTTATCAGCTCAGTCCTTGTAACGACAATGCCCAGCGGCCTCATAGGCATCTGTCTTGCAGGCTGGCTGAGAAGGGTTCTCGGACCCATTTCTTACTGAAGGAAACTGAGGGTCAGGAAGGGAAAGGGACATGCCCAAGGTCACGTGGCCAAACTCACTCAGGCCTGTGGCTTTTTCTCCATCAGTCTTGCTGGCCCCCTCTAGCCCAGGGGATGGATAAGGTTTGTCTGGGTGGAGAGGGAGCCTTTTCACTTCCCTTCTGGTGTCTGCCCAGTCCAGAACCCCAAGATGGCAATCTAGACTGAGCTGGAAGGTGTGCCCCTTCTCAGGGGTGTGCATAAGACAACAGCCTTCAGGGCCCAAAGGAAGGAACAAGGATGGTGGAGTGGTGGCAGTGGGGAGACAGCACCCTGACCCTGAGCCTGACCCTAAGCCTAGCAGTCAATCAAATCCACAAGGTGGAAGGGCTCTACACAGGCGAGGGGCTTGCTAGGCACAGGCCAAGTGTGCCACCCCCAGGGAGGTGACCTAAGAGGTCAGGATCTTCAGGGTCTTAGACCCCTGCTGGTCCCTCTGTCCCTCCCTCCCTCCTCATGGTCCACAAGCAGGGTATACACAAGTCTCCTCTAGCCCACTTTCTCCAACCCCTGCTCACATGGAAGGCTGAGGCCCCAAGGCTTAGTCTGCAGAAAGCCAGGCCTGCTCTCTCCAGAGGCCTCCCCCTCATCCTGGGGGTGAGGGGTGACTGGGTGGCAGTGTGATTCCGCAACCCCCTGGGAACATGGGTCACTGGGTCCCCTCTCCTCTCTGGTCTCCAGGATCCTGTGTTTGCTTTGGGGATGGGGGGGGACTGCCACCCAGGACACAACAGGCCTCATTACCCAAATCAAGTACATAGCCCTAGCACCCAGGCCTGCTGGCTGGCCCCGCCCTCTTGGATGAGATAAACACCATCTGTCCAGCAGGCAGACATGGGGGAGGGGCACTCAGACACCTCCTGGGACAGCTTCTTTTGTGGCACTGGGGGGACTCCTGAGTTTGTTGCCCCTGCCCGTATCCCAGCAACCCCCGGCACTCTGATCAGTCAGTGCCCCACCCCCAGCCTGTCTGCCGTCTCTCCTCCATTTGCCTGCTGAGGTTATGGCCCTTGCGGCCAGGCAGGGCTGGGAGAGATGAGACAGTGACAACGTCCCAGCCCAGGAGGAAAGGATTTGGTCTGAGCTGGGCCGGGGAGGGGAGCGGAGTGGAGCAGAAGCCTGGGGCCAGGGTTCAAGGGCTTCTTAGACCAATAGAAAATCTGGGACTCTTGGGGATGGAATGGGGAAAACTCAGAATTCCTAGTTCAGCTCGCCCCACACATATCTACCTAAGGAATTTCCTGAGAGTCTCCCTGACAGGTCCTGCTTGCTCCCCCACATCCCTAGGCCATTCTCTCCATAACTAGACAGCTCTGGCCATGAATAAGTGTTTTCTTGGAGGTTCCAGAATCTGCCTCCCTGGGGCTTCTACCCACAGAACTGTGGAACACAGGCCTGCTTCTAGAGAAGTCCTCTGATGGCCCACACTGCGCTGCTGAGGGAAAAGCTGACCAGTCTGCCAGCACCTCGCTTGCTGTCTCCTGCCCATCCAGTCACTCGTTTGGGACACCCTGGCTTCCGCAATCCTCTCCCCTCCCGGGAACCCCTATAATTGGGGGTCTTTAAGAGCTAAAACACTGTTCCAGTCTGAGCCTGTTTTTTTCCCTATGAAATGGGGGAATGCTAAAGTTCCTCTGGTGCTGAGTCACCTCCATCCCCCACGCTTAGGCCCCCACACAGGGCAGGCCAGAGAGATGGAATATTCTGGGTGTTTAGGGAAAAAGCACAGCCCCCCTGCACCCCAGCTGCCCCTGACTGGGGTCACCTCAGCCTCCAGTCAGCCTCTTAGTGGGGGCGTTTCTTGCAGTGTGCTCCCTCCCATACCTTGCCACCTCCCCCGAACCTCCCCTTTTGGTCACCCCGGGTATGGAGTGGGGTGGGCGTCGGCCAGTGCGGGGAGAGCCCTGTGTAGTATAAAGCAGGAAGCTGAAGTTGGGAGTGGGTGGGAAATGGGGGACCCTGGGGGAGCCTGGGGAGGAGAGGCGCCCGCATCCGGGGTACCAGAACCTTGGATGCCCTGTCCCAAGCGGTCCCGTGATGTCCGAGTGGGGGAGGGAGGAAAGGGACGGGAATCTGAACTTTCCACATCGTCCAGCGCCCTGGACGATCAGGTTGCAACATGACCTGGGCTGGGGCCAGAGCATGTGGGCCAAGGTTACACCGCCTCCAGCCAATGGGGTCGCGGCTGGGTGGCCGCGGGTGGGGGTGGGCCACACACACTCCCCCCGCAATCTCCACCCGGGCTCCCTGTCAGAGCTGCAAGTGGAGTCTGTATCCAGCAGTTCTCAGAAAGGGAGGAGGCGCGGCGGAGGAAGAGGAATATTTGCACAGAGAAAAGATCAAGGCTGCCCGATCCCCCTTTCTCTCCTACGGTTTTCGTTGATAATTTATCCTGGGCCCTCCGCTCCGGGGAACTTTGCTCCAGGGCACTAGGCCAGGACCCGGTTCGCGCCCTCCCCTGGGACGTGGGCGTGGAGCTCGGGCCGGGTGCGGCCCGAGCGCTCTGCAACGCGTCAAGCAGGGGTCCCAGGCAGCGTTAGGCGCTCAGCCTCGGGCGGCGACCCGGGTAGGCGAACCCAGGCCTCTCGGGTACCAGCCCCGCGCGGCCTGCAGCACCTCCTGCCGGGCCGCGGCTGGGAATCTCTGCAAGCTGGGCCCCCCAGGGTCCGCCCGGTGCACCCTCCTCCCGCCACCCTCGACCTAGCAGGTCAAGAACAGGTGTCCCGGCAATTGGGGGTTGCGGTCTGGACGAGAGACTGGGTTTCAGTCAACGTTGCTTTGAATTAGGACAACCATGGGCACGAGGAGTATCGCGAGGATGCAAGAATAGTGGGTCTGGGCCGGGGCTGCAGGGGAGGGAGCGGAGGGCTGCAGGTGGTTGGGTGGAGTGTCCCCGGGGTGGAGGGTGGGGATAGCAGGATGGCCTAAGGTCCTGGGAGCGCGAGGGATGCCCTGGCATTTCTTTGAGGGCAAAGGAGTTGGGACCGGGGAGAGGGGCCCGCGGTGGGCCTGCAGGGTCGAGGTGGAGGGAGGCTGTCCGCGCCCTGAGGAGGAATAATGGTGGTGAGGAATGGGAACCAGGAGGTATGCATGCCGGTCAGGGGCTGGTGGGCTGGGCCGGGGTCAGAGGCCGTCCGGGATGTGGCTGGAGTATCGGAGCGCAGCAGGGACCAAGGCTCGGGGCCGGGTGGGGTGTCCGGAGCTCCAGCGCGCGGTCCCACCAAGGAGGGCCGAGGCCGTCGGGCCCCGGAGCCGCCCTCACCTGTAGGCCAGGCTCATGCACTCGAAGAGGCGGGTGAGTGTGGGGTCGATGCTGCGCGGGTCGAAGTCGGCGAGCCCTACGGGCCCCTCCTGGTCGCGCCGCCGGGTCAGCGAGTCGCTGTGCGGCGACGACACCATGAAGTGACCGCTGTGGATGACCTGCGAGCGGGGCAGCCCGCTCGCGCTGCGCCGGATACTCGGGTCCTCCGAGTCTGTGTCGGAGTCCGAGTCCGGGCAGGGGACGACCCGCTGGCCCTGCAAGCCCGCGGCCAGACCTGCCAGAGCGCCAGCCATGGCCACCGCTGCCGCCGCCGCCTCGCCCGCGCGCGCTGGAGCCGCCGGCGCCGCTCCTGTGGCCAGACCCGCCGGGTCAGCACAGCCCCGCCCCGCGGCCCCCATAGGCCGTCCCGGACGGGGCGGGGCTTGTCTTAGCACCTGCGGGGCGCCGCGGGCGCGCCGGCCGGGTTTACGCGGGGAGGCGGGCGCCATCTCCCCTCCCGGCTTTCCTTCCGCCGTGACCGCTTGGAGTCCCGGTGGATCTGCCCGTACTTCGCCAAAAGGGGTCTCAAGAAGAGTCAACTATCAGTCGTTCACACCCAGCCTGAAAGCCCCTCAGTGCCTGGGGTTCCTGCTTCCAGGGGCGCCCTCCCGTGAGGCCCTTCACCTAATTACTATCCCCCTGCCCTCCCAGATCTCCCGGCTCACATTCACCCCCCCTGAGTCCTCCACACAGCTGGAAGCACCCCTCTCTCAGGAGTCTTGTTGGCCAGGCCCACAGGACGGTCGGCATCCCCAGTTACCATTATGAGCATCACTGTACGTGCACAGAGGCCCCAGAGGGTTACATGAATCCTGCGAGGCTGCGCAGTCGGTACCAGTGGTGATGGGTGACGCTGGCGAGGTGGAGCCTTGGTCACCCTCCCCTGGACATCCCCAGGCAGGCCATTGCTCAGGAGCTCTCCCCCCTCTCCCCGACCCTGAGGTCCAGCTTATGCTCCTGTTCTGAAGGCCCTCCACTCACCCCGAGGACACCAATCAGGCTGCTGGGTCTGAGGCATTCACACCTGTCACCTCACTGGCACCTTTAACAATCCTTAGAGGTGGGGTTCTTGCCGGACTTCACCGGGGCACTGGATTCCACCGGAGTAAACATGCTCAAGTATCTACAGAGAGACAGCAACAAAGCCCGATCCAGAAGAGTTGGAGACTTCCCACCCAGGGCTATCCCTGGTCAGGACAAGGGAGGACTGGAGGCAAATGCTAACCTCCCTTGGCTTTTGGAGGGTGTGGCCCATGTGTAGTTACAGGAGGGAAAGGGGAGGAGGTGGTCAGTGGGGGGCTAGAGGCTTGGAAAAGCATTTTCTTCCATAGGAGGGTCACACAGCTCCCACAATCAGACGACAGTGCCCAGGAACTCCTGAGGTACTGAAACGATTACCAGAGGCTGCTCATAGGCGAGCCCTTCCACCCACCCATGTCCCTTGGCCAGGTATCCTCTGTCCCTGCTAAACAGTTACCTCATGTTCCCAGGAGCCCCAGCTTCTCTCCTCCCTTTGCTCCCTGCGGCTCTCTGCAGGGGGTGCATCCTTCCTGCTCATCTCTGCCGAATTCTGGGGGGCCTCGGGTGCCCACCTCAGCCTGCCTCCTCTGGAGAGAGAGCCATCCCTAAGTGGCCCTTTTGGGAGCCTTGGCACAGAGACCAACAGGGTAATTACTTATCCCTTAGGTGCCTGTCTGGCTTCTCCCCTGGCCTGTGGCCCTGAGGCAGGACTGTGTCCTAGGGTCTCTGAACCCCCACACTGGGCACCAGGGACTTGGGGATGCTTGGAGAAGGGTATGACACTAAGAGGAACTGGTGGCCACTGTGGGGGGGCGGGGATAGGAAGCAGGGGCCCTTGGAGCCTCCTAGCTAGCAGAAACCTGAATCAATCCTTGCTCTGGCACTAATTCCATGAATAATCCTGGGCAAATCTCTGTCTTCCTGGGCTCTGTCTCTCCGCCTGTAAAATGGGGAAGTTGAATTCAGTGATTTCTTAGAGTCCTGCAACTCTCACCACCCTTGGTTTAAATCTCTGCTCTCAGCGTCCCCAGCTCACCCTACCATGCTCCTCCAGGCCTCCTGTCCCCCGGAGAAACTCTCAAGAGTTTCCCCCCGAGGTTCAAGAGACTCTCCCCTGAGCCGGGCCGCAGTCAGGTAGATTATCTCCCTCACTCCACGCGGCTCCCTTTCCCCAGCCGTCACCTGGCCTCAACAGGCATCTGCACCCCATTTCTGCCCTCCTCAGGGCCTGGTGACAACTTTGGAGGCCTAAACACTGAAAAGACAATCCCTCCATGCATAATTCAAAACAAAACAACACTACCTTGTATAATAAATGCAAGGAAGTCCACAAATTCTGGTTTCTCCCATGATGACATCTTCAATTAAAAAAATATATATCAATTACTAAATTCTTTTTCTAAAAAAATGTTTTAACACCCCAGCCTTGCTGGGACCTTGAACGCATGCTTCATCTGCCTTGTCTAGCCTCCCCAATGCATCTATATGGCCATGTAAGGAAGCATGCATTCCTCGTTCCAGGCTCTGTGTCCAGCACTTTGGAACCCTTATCTGTAAGCCTACTGAAGTAAGTAACACTACTTCCATCTTACAGAGGAAGAAACAGGCTCAGAGAGGTGAACACTTGCTCAAGGTCCCCAGCTAAGAAAGGGCAGAGTCAGCTCTGACTCTGAAGTCCAGGCTCCTTCACCTCTGAGACTGCCACCCTTTCCTCTTAAATATGATGCTAGCCACAGTCAAACCAGCTTGGGTGGGGCGGCGCAGCATGCCTGGCCGTGAGCACAGCCTGTTCGGGGTATCCTTGCCCAGATGGCAGTGCAGGCTTGTGTGAGCTGACCCGGCTCACCCTCTCCCTCCCTTTCCCATTTGGCCTCTGTCACTCCCTGCCCGGTGTTTATAGCTTCTTTACAGACATGTCTTGTTCACGCCCGTGGAGGTGCAGGACAAGGTCCTGATGGGGTGTGAAGACCTGGGTGTCCCGGCAATCCCCCTCACACAACACCCTCCCTGACTCCCAGCCTCAGTTCTCAGACTCCTCCCCTAGCCTCCCCTCCACGTCAGGAAAGCTCACGCATCCTAGAAGTGCCACCTCCACCTTGACATCTTCCCCGAGTTCCCACACCCTGATTCAGACCCAACTCGAATTTCATTCGGCTTTGCATTCGTGTGAGTGGTGCACGTGCCTCTCTCCCACTAGATGGCGAGTTCTGTGAAAGCAAGAGTCATATCTTATTTCTCTCTATAGACCATTTTCCTTTCAAGTGCAAATGGGTATTTGTTAAATGAATCTACTAAGTGTGCTCATTCTTTCCATCTATCTATCCACCTATCTTTCCACCTATCCATTTATACACACACACACACACACACACACACACACACACACAGATGATATTTATTAAGTGCATATTATGTGTCTGTCCCAGTGCGAGGTATTTCACTTTTGCAAAAGTTAAAAATTATAGAAAAGCAAAGATTCAGCACTTTTAATATCCATAGAGATAGAAAGTAGACTAGCACTTGCCAGGCTCTGGGAGTAGTTGGGTATGGGGAAATGGTGAGTGACTGCTAACGAATACAGGGTTTCTCTTTGCGGGGATGAAAATGTTCTGGAATTAGATAACGGTGATGGTTGTACAACTTTGTGAATATACTAAGAGCCACTGAAAAAGGGTGAATGTTATAATATGTGTATTATATCTCACATTAGGCACTTTAATATATTTTCCCATTTATGGTTAATCCCGTCAACTGTGTGTGTATGTGGGTGTGTAAGTATTTTTATTGCCATTTTACAGAAGGGGAAACTGAAGCTCTGAAAGGTGAAGCGATTCAGAGGGTTATTGTGAGAATTAACTACAAACAGCAAATGTTTATGGAGCCTAATCTAACCAGTCTATGGAATCTTCATTACAGCCCCATGATCTTCAACCCATTTTGTAGACAAGGAAACAGGCTTTGCCGAGGGTCACAAGGTAGGAAGAGAACTGAGGTTCAAATGCAGGCATTCTGATGCCTGCCTGCCCCACAAGCACCCACCTTCTCAATTAAAAGTACTAGCAATCATTCACGAGGATGTGGTGCGAGTGGAACCTCACCCACTGCTGCTGCCAGTGTCACTTGGCACAATATCTTTGGAAAACTATTTGTCAGTATCTACCAGAGCTGAACATCCACATAGCTTATGACCCAGCAGTTCCACAGAAATGTGCGCATATGTGCACCAAAGACGTGTACAAGACTATTCATAGCAGCATTATTCTTATTAGCTCAATATTGGAAACAATCCAGATGTCTATCAACAGGCAAACGGATAAATACATTGCAGTACAGTCACACTATGGAATATTAACACAGCAATGAGAATGAACACTCTACGACCAAATGCAACCATATGGATGAATCTCACCAACAACATGTTGAGCAAAAGAAGCCTGACAGGGAAGTGTGTATGCTGTGGGACTGCATTTACATGAGCCTCCAAAACGGGCTGGTCTGTGGTGTTGGGAGTCAGGGTTGTGTTTAGTCTCGGGGTGACTAGAAGGGATAGAGAAGAGTTTTCTGGGGTGGTCCAAACATTCTGTTTCTTTATCTGATTTCACATTACATGAGTGTGTTCACTGTGAATATTCACTGAGCTGGATACTTATGACGTGTGCACTTTTTATATGTATGTTAGACTTAAAAGTTTTTTAAAAGAGAAACTGAGTTTGCACACGCATACACACACAAAATCTGCCACTCCACCTCTGGAGTCACCTCAGATCCTGTTACCAGGCTGGATACTCAGGAAGCCCCACTGAAGCCTGCCTTGGATCCGGCATCTAGGTGAGGGGAGGAGGGAGATGGTGCATCAGGCCCAGAGGTGGTGGGGGTGGGGGGGGGCAGATCGGTGAGTGAGTTGAGGATGCAGAGGATGGAGAGGTGGACAAGAGTGAGAAAGAGGAGTCTTAGCTGTGTCTCTAACTGGCAGCAAGTTGGAAAGTCATTTCCCCTGTCTGGGTCTCAGTTTCTGCATCTGTAAAATGGGTGAACAAAATTATGAAGGAAAAACAAAAAATATGACTACATTAAAGTGAGGAAGTTGGACCGGATTAGTTTTCATATCAGAAGCACCCAATTGTTCTATCAACAAATATGGGTCTCTCTTAGGAATGAAGAAAATCACTTCCCTTTGCAAGAAGCACACATCATGTTTATAGATTTTCTGCTTCTCTAAGTTTAGTGATACTAGAAGTAGCAGTCATATT